CCCCCCCCCCCCCCCCCAACATCCCTATCATAGTCTTCATGCTTCCCTAGGGCCCCCGTTTTCAGACAGAATGCCCCCCCGAAAGAAGCCTCCTGGCAAGGCACTTGGGTCCCAGGGCGGAAATCGCTGGCTATGGCGCCATCCTCAAGGCAACTATTAGAATAAAGGAGAATCAAACGGACAATGCCAGGGAAACTGGGTTTGTATAAGGGTTATTTATATAAGGTTTAGTCGTAAGGGGGTTTTGGTAATCCGCGCCATTCCAATTAGGACCCTGACAGTCAAATAATGGTTATGCTGTCATGTTTTTGAGGGTCAGGACTTCATTGTAGCCGAGTCATTGCTTTGGGGTCCTAATTTAGTGGGTCCGGATTACCAGAATCCTTTTGTCGTCTATAGTCTGATGGTGAGCGAGCGAGTTTTGGGATTGAGTTCATGTTCAACCCCTAAGTGCGCATGGGCAGTTCATCCCTGTCCTTTGCCCAGCAGATCTTAAGATTGCAAGCCGTGGATCAGCCCACACTGGGTACGCCAAGGGTGCCTAGAACATGGAGTCTAGGGTACCAGGCTCTCTTGAAGCTTCATGAATGAAAACAGAAGAAGGCGGGTTGTTTGTAGTTAAAAGAATATTCGCAAGATCAACGATGGCAAAGTGATAGTAGCCGTCCAAAAGCTGCCAATGAAATCCCACCACGTCCCCATGGTGCTAGAGCAGCAGGCTTGCTCCGCGACGAGTAGCTGGGAGCAGTCGCTGGGACTCTTGGTGGCCATGCGCTGCCTTCGAGTGAAACTGGACCTCCAGGACAAGATGGCAGTTTGTGCCCTTGACATCTCACACGCCCATTCGCACCATTTCTGGAAGTTGAGCGGTTTCTGCGAATGGGCCCAGAGGTCTTGAAATCAGGTAGCCATCCTATACAATTCTGGAAATGCATAGGGGGATAATACAGCTATATCGCCACGGCTGTTGGACATGATCTGGGTGTTTCCTCTTTGGGGTCACTGTACTGAATTGTAGTAGTGTTTTCTTATGTAAGGGAAGACACCATGTTTCCGAAATGCCCATTTGTCAAGACTTGTACAGTCACCAGGCTAGGCTTCTAGGATTTGATTTGACGTGGCGGCTCAGCAGCTTGAAACTCTAGGGTTTAGGGTTTAGGGGTTTAGGGTTTAGGGGTTTAGGGGTTCAGGGTTCACCACGGAACCTTTTGAAAGTCAGACCAGGAATCGTCTTGTGTTCACGCCACATGAGTCATAGCCTAAACTCCAAGTATCCCCCTTAATAAGCCCTATAGTAGCCCCTAGATAATCCTTTATATAGCCCCATTTAAGGAGCCAAAACCCAAAGTCCCATATATTCCCCTTTATAACCTTCTTGTAAAGAGTGTAGATTATGGCTCACATTATGGGAAGGCTGTCCGTGACCTGCAAGCATCCGTGGAAGTGCTGCACGTGCCTGCGCGGAGAAAGTTGGAGCGAAAGGCTCTACAGAGGCGCAGCCAGGTGTTTAGGGTTTAGGGTTTAATGCCTTGTGGCGCATTCGAACTCAACAGGGATCAGAGGGAGAGGAATCTTGTAATGCAACAGGCCTCCCTGCGAACCGCTGAAATTAAAAACCTGTTGAGAAAGGCAGATAATTTCCGGGTTGAGAAGGTTTGACATTGTCTGCAACAACAATAACCCAGGATTCTTCTCTTACAGTCAACTGCCTTCAAGGCAGCACATTGATTCATCCTACAACGCCATGCTCGCCGCTGCGGCGGGTGCCTCGCAGGGCAGAGGCTAGTTTGCATGGCTGGATGGGTTGAGGCATAAGCCTGCTGAAGTGTTGAGCTTCGCCAAGGGGCTTGTGCAGGAAGATCATCGTCATGGTGATTTTCTGGTTTTAAGGTTTGTTGTGGAATGCATGCAGCAGTGCCCCCCGGGATCTTGCCTCTCAGAGACAGAGTTTGATCAGAAAAGACCCCCCGTTCAAACACGGATCATGAGCCAATGCCAATGGTGTTGAATCTGTCAAACCTAACTAAGTCAGGGCCTAGCAAGCTTCCCCGCATGGAGTCCTCCTAGTGCTGGGCTTCCGTAAAGTGCATCAAGTCTATTAGCCTTGCGAGCATGTTTGCTCCAAAGACTCGACTGCGGTGCCCCCACACTGTCTCCAAAGCGCTCAGCTATTCAGTGACTGTGATAACCCCTTCTCAGCTCAGCACATAAAGTCGTAGCAACAACAACTGGGTTGCTGCCAGGTAACATTAAGTTACCAAAATATGAGTATATAGTAGAAGATAGGGTGTCCTTGCTAGAGTAACTTAATTTCCATAGCCGCAACCCAGACCCAGACAATGGTCCTGCTTTGTGAATAGCGCGACCTTCTTTTGGCGAGCTTGGACTCGCACTCAAGCCCTGGGCGAGTTTCCTCTCTACATGTCGGCAGATGATCAGTGAACACATCCTTGGCAGACCGTAGGCCCCCAAACCCACTTTGTATCACTTAGGCCTATAAACCCTAAACCTTTTCTTGCCACCGCAGCTAGGCGACGGGGACCTGGAGGGCATTGATCTTGCAGGTCCTGAGCAGCGCCTTTTAGTTGAGATGCGGACCTGGAAGATGGCAGCGGGTCCCAAAACTTGTCGGCGCCGCTAGCAGGGGAGTGGGGGCATGAATCTAGGTACCATGGATGGGAAGGGGGCATACACGGTGATTATACAGGGATCATGAGGGGGATCCATTTTCCTGATGTCCGGATCCCGTAGGCAGCAAGCAGGGTCAACATGAATGGGTGTCAAAACTGCGCAGAGGCCGCAAAAAGGACAGAGAAGCCATGGTGATACTGTTTGCTTCTGCCTGCTTTGATTTTTTTGGGAATGCGGAATGCCATGCCGCTCATAGTACTGGGGAACTTGCCGCTCAGTGGGTCTCTGCATTAACATGGCCCCCCGAGACACATCTACATCATGCATCTACGTACTCAAAGAAACCATGGCCTTTCCCGAAACGCTCTTCAATAACGATCGGCTTCAGGCATGCCTAAAAACCTTGCAATGCTTCATGCCGCATGCCGCATGTCGCTGCGCTAATGAGCCATACTTGCCCCTTGTTGCCCAAAGATTCCGACCCACCATGGGCTTTCGCAATAGTTGCGCATTGAGTTGTCGATTGATGGCCATCCTAACAGCCAACCTCAGATACGGAACATGTGAGTAGTATTATATTTGGGGATGTTATGGTACCCAATAGAGCGTAAGATTATATCCTCCTTTTGGGGTACAGTATCGTATATAAGGAATATCATCTTACTAGGTTCAACCACCCAAAAAACACTACTCATGTATGCAGGAATAGATTGGGTGCTTCGAACTTGGACGCGGCCCTCAAAATTCTGAAGGACGCGGCCAGAGAGTTGGGCCGTACTCGTGGCGTTCTATTGGGACAATGGAAAATGAAATGGAAACTACTCTAGTATATTGGGGTAACATTGGGATAATGGAAAAGAAAATGGAAACTACTATAATGGGGTTATATAGGGGCATTCTCTTTAAACGGGTCTTTTCCAAGAGGTCCGCGTGTACTTGTATGCTTGGCGGGCACATAAGGGTTCCTGATCCAGTATGATGTGTGAGTTTACTTGTAATCTCGGTTACTTAGGCTGGGGACCATGGATACATCTGTCTTATATCGAGCCACTGGGTTGCTGCTACGGAACTACTTCAATTAAGTTACTAGAATAAGGAAACCCTATTGTTTAATTACTGTGTATCCATAGGGTAATTCAACTTAAGTTCCTTACCAGCAACCCAGGTTATGTCTCTTCCCAAGGTCCCTATGCGCCCAGTGACAGCCCAAATCCTAAAACCTAAACCCTAAACCAAATAGACCGTAATTCCGGCCTTTGGAGGAGTAGATCCAGCTCTGCTGATTATCGTGGGTGTATTTAGGGTTAATAGGGTTTAGGGTTAATAAGGTTTAGGGTCAATAGGGTTTAGGGTTAATAGGGTTTAGGGTTTAGGTATTGTTCTAATCTATAGCTACCTGGGTTAGCCTTTGGGATGTTTAACTATTTTCCTTATTCCTTTCATAGAGACCCTAGATACTAATATTCTTCAAAGGGCTCCAAGGGCCAACCAAGTTACTATAGTCTAGGATCTAGAGGGTTTAACCGCTCAAGGACTTGATGAAAGCTCCTTGGGTCAAAGCATGCAAAGATACGTAAAAGGACATGTGAGTAGGATTTTATTTGGGGATGTTATGGTACCCAATGCAGAGTAAGATTATATCCTCCTTTTGGGGTATAGTATTTTATATAAGGGATATTATCTTACTCAGGTTCAGCCACCAAAAAAACACTACTCATGTTTGGTAGAGTCCCATCCGCATCATACAGCAGTCTCTGATGGCGGCATATGTGTTCAACTGCTGCATGAGGGGCATTCAAACATCTGCTGCAAGGCCCTTGGTAAGCCCTTGGTTGAAACCTGAAATCCCTAAGCCCTAAACCCTAAACTCCGTGCCCTTGCATCCCAAAGCCGCTGCGTTTGCCTGGCCCTCAACTACAGCTTCGCTCCTGATGCGTGAAGCGTAAACACTTCAGCCCATACCCTATCTGGGGTTTAGGGTTTAGGGTTTAGGTACATTATATATGGAGTATGTATAGGGGATATATNNTACATAGGGATTATTTAGGGATTATCCCAATGTGGAGGCTGCCAAAGCCTCTTTGAACAGGAGCCCGCGCAGCTTGTTCCCACAGATTCTGGTCCAAGGCGGGGTACCCGCTGGTGATGGGGTTGTGAGGATTGTGTTAAATCTCCTAGGGGTTATGTCTACTATAGTATAACCTCTAAAGATGTATAAAACTAATGTTTTTTTTTTTTTTTTAATTATAGGTCTAGGGGAACTA